TGGATCATGACAGTATCTGAATTGCCTGTGGATTTGTTTCTATTGTGTGTTTTTTCTCTTGGTTTCTTGTCATTGGTCTTTTTTTAACATACTTTCTGATATTTAACTGAGAGTCGATATTATAGATAAAATGTTACAGAGTTTCTATTTGATGTCATATTCTTAAAAGAGGATTAAATGTCCTTTTGGCAGAAAGATAACATGACATTGAATCACCATGTCTTGTTGCTCTTAGGCTTTGTTAGGGCTACTCTGACACTCAGGGGGAAAAATTTCCTCATTGGTCACCTTTGAGGAATGCTAGGGAGTTGATTCATTATTCTGAAAACCAGTGAATAAAGAAATCAAGTGTTTATTCTGCCTTTATAAGATGTATTTTACCTCAGGATAACTGAACAGTTGGTGAGTATAAGTTTCTCTTCATAGGGCTTCCAGCTTTTAAAAAAATTAAATTAAATTAAAGGAATGATAGAATTAAAAATCACTATCTCAAAATTCCAAATTTAAAAATGAATATAAATAACGACCACTAATGGCTGCTAACATCACAAAAAAAGAGAGGCAACCAGACATTTTGCACCTCCTGATGGAAAAACATTCTACCAGTTATGAAGAGTTGTTTTTAGTTAAAAAAAAATCTTTAATCCTGAGATATCAACTAAAAAGCCTAAATATAGAAACAGCTGATAGTGCCACATCCTTCCTCTAACACTGTACAAAGAATACCCAACAGTAAGGCATCATCTACCTAAGGCAGAAATTAGGAGATTCCCTCAAAAACCAAAGACTTCTACATTTGGGCATTTGGGGATGCCCTGCCCTTATAGCTACGACCTTACTCAAATGTGCCTCCAATTGACAAGTACCATTTGTACACAGATTTCCCAGGTGTCTTTTTATTGCCTCATGATGAAATACAAATAGACAACCAAGGATCACCAGATTCCTGAAGGGAAATGGCAGCATGAATCAATGTGAGATGTTGCTTCTTGACCCACAGATCATTCTATTCTGTGGTCTGTTGTTTGTTTGTTTATTTTTTTAAGTTTTTTTTTAATGTTTTCTTTATTTCTGAACGGAGAGAGAGAGACAGCATGAACAGGGTAGGGGCAGAGAGAGAGAGGGAGATACAGAATCTGAAACAGGCTCCAGGCTCTGAGCTAGCTGTCAGCACAGAGCCCGATGGGGGGCTTGAACCCATGAACCGTGAGGTCATGACCTGAGCCAAAGTCGGACGGTTAACCGACTGAGCCACCCAGGCACCCCATTTGTTTTTTTATTTTTGATAGAGAGAGAGTGCACGCAAGTCAAGGAGGGACAGAGAGAGAGAATCCCAAGCAGGCTCCATACTGTCAGTGCAGATGTGGGGCTCGAGCCCATGAACCGTGAGATCATGACCTGAGCCAAAATCAAGAGTCGAACACTTAACCAACTGAGCCACCCAGGCACCCCTGTTCTGTGGTTTCTCATTTTGTTCACCTTCTTCATTCTGTTTCCTACCCAATGAAATAATACCTTTTGATTGGGATCTTTTTAGACTCTAGTCCTAATATGTTGAGGACTCTTAATTCCTCAGATACTCCTGAGAGAAGCTATAGGAATTCTGGATGTTTACCATCCAGAGTCTGCCGCTTTCAGGTTGCTCATAGGTTTCTAGAATAAATTTGTTTGCTTTTTACCTTCCATACTTAAGTAAATCCCTTTGAAGTACTGTGAGAAGTTCACTGAAGTCTATTAAAAGGACTTAGCCCAATGTTAGACATCATCTAATCAACATTTCAAGCTCAGTTTTTCTTGTCTGGCTAAATAGTCTGAAAGTAACAACCTGTTACAGCTTTAATAGTAATCAATTTATAGACAGGTTCGATTACGCTTTCATGGCATTCCACAACAGGGCTCCCCTCTCATGTTCTGACCTGGGTTATCCTTCCAACAGTGATTGTGTCCACATGAGTCAGTGGTTCAGTTTGGATTTTTAGTTTTGTCTTTAGGAAAATTCCTTTCATTGAATTTCAGAATTCAGTTGTATCACAGTTTTTATCAATACTCAGGTACTTGTATACATTGGGAATGTGTGGCATGGACTTGCACACATTTAGCTTTTCTGCCTTGTGCTGTACCTGCTGTTTGGATAAGTATCTGTTTTTGTATCTATTATTTGTATCTGTTTTTCTCTATTTATCCTAATTTGCTTCTGTGAAGCCAAGTGGTCCATATCAAATCATTTTTTCCACTATCTATTTCTCTGTATACCCTTTATTCATTACAAGTCATTTATCATTCATTTATTTTTAAACAAATATTTGAATATCTATTATAGTAAGCTATTAGAAGATACCTTGTTTGCAAAGTATGCAGCAATGACATGATCAGCAGATGTGGTGACCTTCTGAGCCTCCACTCCTGTCACCCTCATCACCTTTCTGAGAGCTCATTGCCCTCAGATCATGCCTCACTGTTTCTGCTCCATCTGTGCCTAGTTGGCCCATCTGCAGATGTAAGCCTTTGACCTTGGGCTTCTCTCCTTACTTACTTCCTCCCTACACCAGCTTTTTTTTTTTTTTTTACAAATAGTTTCTTGTCAAGTTGGTTTCCATATAACACCCAGTGCTCATCCTCACAAGTGCCCTCCTCCATGCCC